CCACAAAAGTCTGAGCTGCATGGTATGACTGTCCAATTGCTGCAGGAGTTGCACGCTTGTGTCAGTATGACTATGACGTGTTGGTCGAGCACAAGTTTTGTTACTGCTACAACTTGCGCACAGCTTCATTCACATGGAGAGCAATTGCTGGTTCACACTAGTGATGTTTTAATGTGTACTGATAAATCAAAGTTGTGTAGATGACTACTAGATGGGTCTAAGAAGTGTGAAAAGGAAATTCTGTCTCAGACTGTTACCTGTTTTTCTTATCTACACAGTTCAATCAATCCAAAACACTTTATTTATCCCAGGCAAATTGCAGAGGCACGTAGAGTAAATTACACAATAGACGAAATAAAAATGAAAGGAAGGCTGCGCACATTATAATGCAAGTATGATACATAAATGCAAAAATAACTTGTGAAAAATAATGATGCGATAATGTTCAAATCACGCTGTACTCATTATTATAATGATGATATGTGAATGAAGATGATTATAAAGTGCAAAAATAGGCTGTACACGTTAATAATAACGATGAGATGCAGTGAAAGCATGAACAAAAGGGTAATTTTATTTTAAAATGCTTGTTAGTTCCTGAAATATTTGGTTGAAAATGAAGCTAGAGATCATTTTAAAATCTGGAATGTTCATTAGCTTTGGCCTGTGCTTATGATTGTAATCCAGAGCCAAATCTCAGCCCGGCTCTGTCATGACAGCATGATGAGTGGCGTGGCGCAGACACTACTTGAGCTGAGAGATGAGTCACCAAAAATCATTAGGAATCTAATAAATCAGATTTATAATCTAATGTTGCCATGAATGCTGCTAATATTTACAGTGGAACTGAGCCAGCATCAACATCCACAGACGCCTCAGCAGTACCTGCATCCACTGCCAGGTAGAAACACTGTCGGGCTGTTGTCTCAGAGAGGGAAACACACACAGACACACACACACACACACACACACACACACACACATACACACACACTTAAATGATGCTGAGCATGACTCACACACTCCTAGCAGACACATCCACATCTTTAGGCAGACTCAGACAGACAGCACGCAGAGAATGTGTGTGGTGATGCAGCGACCAGAACGCAGCTCTACACTGGCCTCCCCGTGGCTCGCTTCTGTGTCAGAGCTCTCTCCGAGGGCAGGACCAGGGATTGTATCACTCCCAAGCAAGACGGTGCTGAAGTCAGACATGACAATGAGAACAAATTTATGTCTGAATTTATATTTGATGATATATTTTTCCCTCTTATCACAACAGGGATTTGTTCTTCTGCTGTCTAATGTTCTTCTTGAGGGCCAGTGTCCTCAGCTCTGAGGGCATATATGAGATATCAAGCTTGACTTATTTGGATCTACCGCCCACCTCCACTCCTTTGCTTGTAGCTGAACTCTGCTCGACTTTCTCCTGTTTCCAAGTCACTGTATCCCTCCTCCAGCTGTCTCTCTGCTCTCTGTCCCTCCTCGCCTCCCAAAGCTCATTGGAAATGAATGAGATCTGGTCCCTTTGTCTCTTGCTGTCACCGCCAGAGTGAGTGCATGTTTAGAAAAGGTTACAGGATAAATATATTATGCTAATTTTCAGGTTCATATTTGTATTAAAATATGTTTACATATTTTAATATGTTAACATATTTTAATGTCAAACATATATTTTATCATTCTGTGTGCCTGAGTGTAGCTATATTGACCCTATATACATTGAAACGTTAACATTTAGGCGCCTGCCTCTTTAAGCACCACTTGCTGAGAAAGCCCAGTTTGCTCTGATTGGTCGGTGTTTCCAGTCTTCCACATCTATGCTATTGGCGTTATTGCAGCCTGGGAACCACGTTTAAGCTGCACTTTACTCCCAACACTCCCACTTACTTTACTACCGGTGGTGAAGGATTACATGTTCATAGAACCGGTTTGTTGACAACAGTGTAACTTTAAACACACTGCCAGCTCTCCAGTAGCGATTGTGTGCTAATGGAGGCACATTGAAGCCAGCTGAGCTTGTTGCAAATAAAGTTACCCACATCCAACCTACTGTCATGATTTAACTGGGTTCAAATGAGGCTTCAGAGACTAAACATTCCCAGTTGGCAGCGCATGTCAATAGCCCCTTTTACACTGCCAGATTTTCCACGAATGTTGGGCTGTTTTGCTGGCAAGCTGCGAGCGTTTAGACACACAGAGCCGGATTGGCGAGTTGATCCGAGGTGCCCAATTTTCCGCCACGGAGGGGCAAACATATTGGCGGAACCTTTTTGGTTTAAAAAGGAGGCGGCCTTCTGCAACAAGAGGGGCTGTTGATGACTTGTGGGAGCAGCTGTTGATGACGCTGCACATGCGAGCCACTGGCGGTGGACTAACAGGAAACAGCTGATAGCAGGAATTAGCGAGCAGCTAGTACTAGTAGCAAGAGGGAAACACAAACCTGGCAGACACTGTAAAGATGAGCAACTGGTGAGACAAGGAATTGCACGCCCTCCTTGCCCTCGCAAACGAAGAGGCCATTAACCGTCAGATAACGGGGACGGTGAAGGACAGGCCAATTTATGAGAGAATCGCAGAAGTACTGACCAGCCGCAGCTTCCCTCCAACGTCACTGTTTACGTCACACACTGAGTTAGACATTTTGTTACTTGCTCACTCCCCCCATTGCCCCAAAAAAAGGCGCATTCTGTATAAACAAAAGTAGGTAGGCGGCATTTTGCTGCACTCCCCGATTTTGTTTTTATACTGCCAATGCTGAAAGAAGACTGATTGGGCTTTCCTGCAAATTTGCACCATTCCTATTTAAAAAGGGCTACTGTGACATCAGAGAGATGGTAGACTCTTTTGTCGGACAGATGTTAAATTTTGGTTGGAATGAAAATTAATTTGATGATAATTTAAATGTCTATCAACATTTTACTTGTGTGGATGTTAACATTATGACGCTTTGCAAACACTGAGGTTTTGTTCTCCATACCTTATGACTAATTCTACTTCAAGATTACATTTGCATTAGATGTTTGGAAGACGTTGGATTGCAGTTATTGAACACACAACTTAAAACCTACAAAATATCAAGGTCATCAGTTGTCAGTATTGTGTTTCAAATTGACATTGGCATTAGAGTTTGTGCTGACACTGAATTTTGGTCATCTGACATCACAACCTAAATTCAAACAACTATCAACGTCTAATGGTGGCCAGTTGTGTTCACAGTCTTTTTCAGTGTTACATAACTTACTCCAACATTCCTCCAGCATGTGGGCCTATGATTTAAGCTAGCTGCATTAGCCACAAAACATGCTAATATCAACTTCATCAGGCTAACCTGCAAAATAAACAGTAAAATAGGATTGCCAGCTCTTGTGCCTGTGTTGTGCAACACAAACTTTCACCTTCAGTCTCATGCTGCCCAAATAAGTCTCACACCAAAATAGATGTTACCTCTGAATTTTTTTTTTTAGCCCCAAATAATTCTCCACTGTGTATGGTTAATTGCCACTGAAGAAGACGGCAGTGTTGTAATCATGTTTCTTCAGTGCAATGGAGGCAAGACAGGACCAGGAAGATATATGGAAATACTTGTCTTACTGGGTGACAAGGTCTGTCAATTCTTAGACCTGTGAGCTGGTACTGCAGCACAGTTTTTTTGACACTGCATCTTCATATTTTTGGATGATGGGAGCACATGAAGACTTCTGGTTCTTGCAGCCAACAAAAGATCAAGTAGCATGTTTTGCTTGTACCGTTACCAGGTCTGTGATATCGAGCAATGGCAGATGGTCATTTAGCTGGAGGTGGAAGGTACAGCAGCTCCACAGGACGTCATATCAGGCATCAGATCTGACTAGCTCATTGCTGCATACATTTTCTGATAGATGGAGCAGGAGAAAAAGAGAAAAGATTGTTTTTGCTCACACACTGGGGGCTCTAGACACACCGGGGACGCTTTAATGTCGAAAAGCCAAGAAAAGCTGCATTTTGCATAATATGTCCTCTTTAAATGAAATCAAACTCATGGTAAACGCTGTTATTCTGTGCTCAGGATTGTGTAAGGTTACTCCCTGCTGGGGTAAATGGTCACTGCTTCCAAATCCCAAATTAAAGGTCCTGAAATTACACTTGGATGTGCTGCTGAATAGGGTGTGTGTGTGTGTGTGTGTGTGTGTGTGTGTGTGTGTGTGTGTGTGTGTGTGTGTGTGTGTGTGTGCGCGCTCACATGCAGTACAACCCATGCAGTGAGCAGAGTTATTTTGGGAAATGTTCCCTCTTGTCCCAACTGACAAACACATACAAGTGTGGTTTCAGGATCATCAAGCTTTACCATAGCATTTAGAAGCTACTACCCATTCACCCCAGAAGACACACACACACACACACACACACACGCACACACACACACACAACCAAACAGACGCACACACACACTGCCTAGTAAGATAAAACAAAGAATTTTCCAACATTTTGTGGAGGAGTTTATGCTATGGGAGAGCAGGGTTATATAAAATTGGACATTGCTCCACAACTGATAGCTTCCTTCATTTTAGATTTTTCCCCAATCCCTTAGAGGTCAGCACTATAAAAATTTGGACTTAATGTGAAAGCAACATGCAAATTGACTGTGCTACTCAAGTCAATCCGCTGATTGCTCCAACTGTATTGATTTAATTAAAATACTGTCATTGCAAATGAAGTGTGACTGAGCAAAGAGTGACTGTCTGGACCATTTCAAATTCAGAGTTCTTACTTTCCAAAATCATTGGACTCCTTGGTCAGAAATTCTGGATTTAAAAGTTGTCTTGTGTAAGTTTAATCCACAGGGTGTTTATGAATCTGACGTTTTGAATAACAAACATCAAAGCTGTCATAAACAGTCAATAACTCGACTCACTATGGCGCTTTACATCAAGTGACAAGGAGAGTAGCAAAATACACATCCTGCTGTGAAAGCCTCACAGATGTTGACTTGTATTATCTGTGTTTTGTTTCTGTGACAGCTTGGGTCAGTGTAAGGAGGTGGACAATGCTGCGAGGGCACGGCAGGTCCCAATGTCCCCTTCTGATTTTCTCGACAAACTGATGGGCAGGACATCTGGGTACGATGCCAGGATAAGACCAAACTTTAAAGGTATCAACAAAACTATCTATGTGTCTGTTTGTATTTTTCCACAGGAACAAACAGGGAAAAGTGAACTTCCCCTGTGAGGCACTGTTCACAATAACATGGATAAATCGTGCAACAGCAAAATTTAGTTTAAAAGGAACAATGAACTCCAGAATCAAAAAAAAGTATTTTTCCACTTTCCTGTAGTGCTATTTATCAATCTGGATTTTTTTGTTGTGAGTTGCAGAGTGTTGGAGATATCACCTGTAGAGATGTTTGCCTTCAATCAATCAATCAATCAATCAATTTTATTTATAAAGCCCAATATCACAAATCACAATTTGCCTCAGAGGGCTTTACAGCATACGACATCCCTCTGTCCTTAGGACCCTCAGGCAGATAAGGAAAAACTCCCCAAAAAAACCCTTTAACGGGGAAAGTCCGTCCAGTATAATGGAGCTAGATGGCACTCAGCGTGTGGTGCTCAAAGTGCCAAAAAATACATTTGAAAAATGATCAGCAATGTCTGTTTCCAGAAATCATGATCCAGTTACTCAAGATAATCCACAGACTTTGTTGTGAGCAGTTTCATGGAGTATCTATTTTCTGTCAACCCAAGTACACCTGCAAACTGTATTACCACGCAGGAGAAAGTGTGCATCTACTGCTAGCTCGCCTAGTGCTACTGAGCTAGCTAACTGTATTCATGATTTTTGGGGGTAAAACTTTTCTTTGGCTTTCACAATATCCCTAACTGAGAACAGACATGGTAACATGTTAGATTTGTCAGGCACAGCTCCTCATACCATGACTGGTACTGTGCACAGAATCAGGTACCTTACAAACTGGAAATTTTGTCCAGTCCAGTTGCTCAAATGTAACAGTTCTAAGTAAGTAAGATCAGTAAGATAAGTAAGAACTCCTTTATTGTGTGTTGACAGGTTTTAGATAATCTTTTGGTTATGGTAGCAATCCTTGCTGGCGTTGTCAATATTTCTTAGGTGGCTTCACAATAAAGTGAATGTAAAGAGCCTTTATATTACAATACATTGTAAAGCACATCAACCAAATAACTACTTTATCCTTCCTGAATAGATATAATAGCGTATTGTGGGGACACCATCAAGTGGCAACCACTGAGGCTAAAAATGAAACCAACATGGAATTGTCAAAAACAGCAATTCCTCGAATGGCCGCTTGAGGTTGGCTTCAAGAGTGAGTCAGTCCCCATAGACCCCTGTGTTAAAATGCAATACTTTACAGCAGTAGTACTAGTACACAAAACAGCCTTGGTCTCCATAGCTTATTTCCATGTTTCTGACAACTGTATGTGGGGTGATTTTTTATATAACGCACCCATTAAAATGTTATGAAGACTTAAATTTCTGTATAACTGAGGGCATGACGTCTTTGACTGACAGGTGGATGCCGTCTGTTGACAAGTTACTACCATGGCTACAACATTGGTTAGGTCATGTAAGCATGGCGTATGCCCCAGATGAACCCCAGAGTATAGGCGTAGTAGCCATAATTAACACTTTTTCAGTGTGTTTTTAGTTTATGAAAGTTAATTGTAACGTCTTGGTCACCTAAAAAAAGTCTTGTTAAGTGTTTAGTTGTACAGAGAGACCCTCTAAGAAATCGATAATTTCCTTCAAGCCTGTTTTTCGGTAGCAACAAAAGTGAATATACAGCACTGTACAATCATTTACATGTGTTAAGAAGTTAACAATGTGTATAATTGTGGCACAGAAATCCGTGAAGAAACGTTTTGGGTACACTAAATTATGTGCTGCTGCACCTAAATGAAAAAGTTGGTGCACCAGTGCAACCAGTGTAATAGCAAGTCTGGAGCCCTTTGCCCTAAAGTTCCTCACATAGTCTGAATATGTAGGTTAGATGAACTGAAAGCTCTTAGCTGAATTTGTTGTTCTATCTTTAGGCCTTGATTTAGCAAATGCAGGCTTGAGTTACAAGCTCATTTTGGTGTCTTTTTGCAAATTTGGCAATTTGAAATGTAAAACCCTGAAACAGTCCAGTGGAGTATGGAGCAGGATTAATTTGTTGTTAGGTGGAGTTAGGGTGGGATCAATAATGCCAATAACACAAGCTCCTTTCACTCCTTTAAAAGCAGCGGTTTCCTTACGGGTCAGCAGCAGTCCAGGTCATCTCTTACATTATACCGAAAGGTGTTGCTAATATTTTCCTCCTCTAAATACAAATGATTCCATATAATGCATCCAATACACCTGCACCAGTAACTGTGGCCTCAAACATGACATCTTCAGGACACCTGAGTTTCTTGTGTAATTAGTCTGTGCAGAATGTCTTACTGCCAACAGAGGTTTATCGATTTACTTTGCCTGAGCCCAGGGGTGTGATTGAAGATTGAAGGCATTGACACCCGATGATGCATGTGTAAATACTCAGCACTTGTGTGTAAATGTGTTGTGCATCCCCAAAGGCTGTGCTACATCATTTTATATTGCTAAAGGCCAGACGTACAGGCAGAAAACAGCCTTGACATATTGAAGCAACTTGTTAGTCCCTCTTTTAAATATTTAATGTTCCTTTTTTAAATATTTATTGTGTAGTATGATCAGAACTTAATTTCCTTCCGCAGAAAGTTGAAAACATCTCCTTAACCTTTCTGTTGACATGACCCTAGATCGGGAAAAAGGCCAGTGGGACTCAGAGAGGACATCAACGGAATGTTTAGTGACAACTGGCCAATTTATGTCAGAGCGATGCATTGCACTGACCCGGCACTGACCCTTTAAGGGTCAATATCTCACTGCTAGGATGACCAGGTGTCCCACTTTATCCTGTACAGCACAGCTTTTTTATCCCTTGTCCCACATCCCACATTTTTATTTGCTGTAGTTTTCAAAAATCAAACCAGTGCAGGACAGACACATTTCTGCATAACTCATTCTCTTCTGTGTTTGATTACACTCAGTCAGGTAGAGGCAGCATTCATTTTACTCATTGTAGTGGCATACCACAGAAGAAACAAGAAGAAGAAGATCATACTTGTGAGAAGATACTGTGTATGTGTGCACAAATATATACACATCTGTGTCCAGCTTGAGATAAGATAAAACAGTCAGATGATAGTACTGACCTGCGTCACTGTGAACTGACCAAGTTATTTTGTTGTCGGTCAAAACACACACAAGGAGTGTACACTATCTGTGGCACACGTCCTTATTACTCTGTGTCCTGTGTTTTACTGGACATTCTACTCACAGCTGCTGGTGAAAGAGTTAAAGCTTTAGCTGGTAACTGTTATAGAAACTAACTTCTTTTATATTTGCTGACGCTGACACCATAAGTAAGACAGATATTCTGTGAGAAAAAAATCATACTTCTCCGCCCACTCTATTGCCTTGTAGCATTTCTAATAGCATTACTGCACGTGAACAAAAAAAAAAAACAATCAGAGCCAAGGAGTCTCTAATGTAGCAACCTGTCAAACTAGGCAGCGCTGATCAAATATAAATCAAGATTCTGTTACTGCATCACCTATTTCTTATCTCAAATGTTTTTGGAAACATATTTTAAAATGAGAAAATTTGTGTGCTGCCTTATTGGATACAGTACCAAGCACTGCCCACCAGCCGGACATTTTGACTGCAGTTGATAGAGTGATTGACATAATTTACAACTGCTTTAGAGACTCCTCGTCACTGATTGGTAGACTATCTCTCTCATGTATGTCTTTCAGAATGTAATATAGATAGTTTTTCATAAAAGTTACAAACATTATCTTTAATACTGATGATGCAAAGAAATACTTGATTGATTTGATTTTTACAAGATGGAGAAAATCACAGTATTTTTGACTAGATATCTCAATATCAATATGGAGGAAATATTTTACGGTTGATTATTGGTGCTTTCACAAAATATTTACACTGTCAGATTTTTGATAACCAATCATCAGTAATGTGGATATAATAATATATGATATAAAGAGGGTAAAGGCAAGTAATAGAACAGCAAGAACAATCTGCTAAGTTTATAAAATTGCTTTACTTTAACGCAGCCCTTTTAATCTATCTAAATCTATCTAGACTCATAAAGATATCAATATAATACTGATGTATTGCCCATCTATCTATCTATCTATCTATCTAGTAGGTCAATAAACCTGTCATTTATAAAGCAATTAATTATGTGGTTTGTATGTATGAAGAATTCAGTCATTGTTTACAAGTCAAGACCTCAGTGGCATCTTCCAGAACTGAGACTGAATTAATCATCTACCTTTTTCAAAGGGTTTTGCCCCTCATGCAAAATCCATTCCTGTTATTCACTGCAATGCCCAAAGTTGAGTGCAGTCATTCTGTTTCACCTTTTGTACCAATTAATATGTTTACGATGCATATTTTTGGTGTCTCGTGTGAAGCTTAATAATATGGTTGCATGTGTTATTTCCCTTTAAGACAATCACACTACATTTGTATTTATATCATATTTGTGTGCTGTAATCATTCTACCTCTCTCTCTGCAGGTCCTCCAGTCAACGTCTCCTGTAACATTTTCATCAACAGCTTCGGCTCCATTGCTGAAACCACCATGGTGAGTAACAAAGGTGCCGCATGAAGCTGCATTAAATTTGCATAAAGGTTAAATTAGCATGGAGGCACAGACAAAGTTTTTTTTACATAAACCTTGTTTCATCAAAAGTAGAGCCAACATGGTGGTGACTACAGCACTAATCCCCAGAGAACTTTATTTTACCAGGGGTTTAACGATACATAGATCTGGATCAGTATATCGATTCAGTGAGCAATGATCCAATCTCATTAATGCAAAGCAAAAACATTGATATGTATTGTCATCTTTAGTATGTGCCTTAATTTTGAAATTCCCATGGCAGGTCTGTGCTATCATGTCAGTCCAAGTCCAGTTATACCCTTTAGACCATTGAGGATATGACCAGGATTAAAGGAAAGAAGAAAAAGATATACTTTATGAAATTTATTTTTTTTTTAACTCTGTTGTCATATACACACAGGCCTGAAATACACACACATGCACAAACAGGACCTGTACATGCATTAAATGGAGAGGAGTCATAGTGAAGGGTCTGCCCATGGACAGGCACCCCATGCAATTGGGTGTGGAGCCTTGCTCAAGGGCAACTTGGCTGTGCCCAGGGGGCAAACTGGCACCTCTAAAGCTACCAGTTCACACTCCATATTTGGTCTGGACGGGGGCTTGTACCAGTGACCCACCGGTTCCCAACCCAGGTCCCTGTGGACTGCCACTCCATGTTTTTTAGATTAAAATTATTCTGGATTGAGAATATTCAGCCTTACTTCACCTGGGTGCTCAAATCCATGAAAAAAAATAGTAGAAAGCAGATCATTTCATACCCGAAAAACCTCCAAAAGCTTTGAGCCTGATGGTTTAGATCGTAACAGCAATAAGAGTATTAGTTTGTCAATCAATCAAACACTCAAGATGTGCTGAGATTACAGTAGGGCTCTGGTGGGTAGGGTTAAATTTAAAAAAGTCATGGTAACATTAATGTTTAAATAGTTAAATGTTCACAGGCCAACAAGCACACCCCTCTGATTTAAACAGTACACTGCTGGTGAAACTCGTTAACAAAAGAGTAAAATCCATCGATATCTTTTAAACGACAGATGGCACAGGTAGAATCACTGACATTATTCTTTGCTATTAATTAATAACTGCATTAGAGGTAGTGGTTCTGAGGCAGCATTGGAATGATTAGTATTATTATTGACCAATTAACAGTTTTTATTTGTTAATTTTTTAATTTAGGATATGGTCAGGTCTTATTAGCACCTAGCAGAGGGGCAAGAGGAAGAGAGTAAAGCTCCAAACTGTGGCCAGACATGATGACACACTGACAAGTAGAGATAATGACAGAGGGAGGCAGACAGAGATAGAAATCAGAGGAGACAGACAAGCAGACATGAATAGCAGCGCAGTGGAGACATTTAGTGACTTTGACAGCAAATACTCTAAAGTGGCGTGAAGTCAGTCCAGGCCCCACACGAGCTGCTTTGTGCATCCATATTATGCGCACACACACACACACACACACACACACACACACACACACACACACGTAAACAGACCAGAATGAAGATTTTTAAGGGCTTTGTGTAATGTTGCAGTTCGATTAGTAAAAAAGCTTTCAGGAGCAGGAGTTAAAGCATTTTATCAGTTTTCTTGACCTGTGAAAGTCACTCTATCTCCTTTAGGATTTCAGAGAGCTGCAGAGCTGTCCCGACCTGTTAGGAGTCCCTTGACCGGGGGCAAACGATAACAGACACAAGCATAGAAATTTCAGTATGTGTGGAAATCCTGCAGAATTCACTTCAAAGATACTGGTGGCTTAAAGGGAGCTGAGAGCCCTTCCAGGATGTAACCCATCCATACTGACTGCCAAGAAGGACAGAAAGCTAGCCAAGATCTGGGTCCCTTTATTGAAGCTCTGTTTATTTCCTCTTGAAACACCATTATATTGCATATCAATAATTTCCCCACCACCAAACATAGTTAAGATACGTTGGATTTGTCAGTGTTGTAAAAAACATGCAGCCATTAATATCACAGCTCAGTGCAAAGATAAAGATGCTTTTCTAAATAAATTGCAGAATAAAAAACAGACTGCCTAAACATATTATTTCCAGGGGAAGCAGGCTTTGAAATTTTGTGTATTATTATACATATTTAGTTTAGATACACTCTTATTTCTGCCATTCCAGCTGTACACACAGGCTGAGTAATGGCACCTATTGTTTTTAATCTTTTGCTTGGTCCAGTTTAGTGCTAGCTGGACTAGTTGTCGTTGTAAACAGTGACTTAATTTGGGAACATTCAGCAACTAGACTGCAGATATCAGATGGTTTTCCATAAACCACCATCAGTGACTGGAAGGACGGCATACCAAGCTGGATCTAGGGTTGGGTACCATTCACATTTGAACAGATGCCAGTACCTATGCTGGTTCCCGGACTTTGGTACTGGTAACCTATGGTACTTTTTTTTTGTGGTACTTTACTCTTTCTGTAATGACAAAAAAGTAAATTTTAAAGACGCTGCTGTCGACAAGTGATTCTGCTCCTCTTTTCTATTATAATCACAAGAAGAGCTCAGTGTGTCTTTCTCTCTGGCTGTTAACTTGTGTGTGTGTATATGTCTGCTCATCTCTATCTATCCCTGTTTTTACACAACTGACAAATATGTGGAATAAGTGCATAATTAAAGAACACAATCACAAGTAGCAGTGATACTAGGCTATTTATAAGATTACATTGCCCAGCGTTCTCACCCACATGTGCTCTTCAGTACTGAAATTTGGCACTAATTGATTAAACGCGAGCTGGTACTTGGTAGTACCAATGTACTTGGGTCAGTGCCCTTGAAAGTATGGAGTTCCATACCCAGCCCAACTAAAATGACATGTAAGGACTTGTAAAATTATTTTCTAGAGTCTCTTCATGTAGACGGCTATGTCATAAGGAACAAAATAAGCAAAATCTCTCAACATGACTGCTAACAACACTTAGCAAGCTTAACTGTCCACAAACTGAGTGAACCACCCAATCACTGGATGCTGATTTTTCCATGTCATGTAGGAAATGCCAATTTCTTTGCCATAGAAATCCAGGATTTCAAGGAAAAGTGTTTTATGCCCCTGTTACTGCTCCCATACAGCTAACCGTGGCTCACGTTAGCCCATTGCCAAAGAGTAACATGAAGCACCTTAGCCCAGCGTTGGAGGCAGAGCCCCATTTATTCCTATGAAAATTGCTCAGTGACACAAGAAGCAAAAAATGTTCAACTGCCACACATAAAATTACCCAGATGATCCTAATCAGCAAAGTCTTTTTGGCCTCGATGGCATCACGTGACAGACACAGAAGTTGTAATTCCACTGTTTGGCCACTACGAAAATTGGCTTCAAAGCCTGGCACACTTCCTGGCAGCCTGCAGTAGCCTAGCTAGAGCCACCTCACTAGCATTAGCTAAGCCTGCTTTCATCATCATCATCATCATCATCATCATCATCATCATCTCTTTAACGGTCAACATTAAAAAAAATTGCCAAGAGTGAGAGTCATTACAAAAACACATCAAGTGCTTGTGTAATATCATACCAACTGGCTGGTCTCACACATAGCTACTGTTTCACACATTGTGGCACAAATTTCCAAATAGTCGTTATTTGGATAACCTGATCACATATTGGAAATTTAAATGTTTATTTTCTAGTCTGAAAAACTATTACAACTTAATAACAGCTTTTCTTTTTAGTTTCAGAGCAGCTGTTTGGCAGGTAAAACATAATAAAGTTGGCAATGCTTAGCAAAGTTAATGTATTTCCTGTCTAAAACAGAGGTAAGCGCACAAAATCATGCAAAGCAGAAGCGCCCCGGTTCAGGCTTAGAATAAGGTGAATACCTGCAAAGGCAACCCTGAGGGTATTGTTGTGCTTTAAGTATATTTTCATCTGTTTTACACTCATGATTACAGTGATTGTGTGTTAGGCTCTGAGTCCTGTCAAAACACATGTGACCTACACTCAATACTGTGCCTGATTGCATCCTGTGTGGACACAGACGGAGCTGCTAATGTGCACTCACGCTTCATGTGAAAACATGTTGTTTGTCTTGTTGGCCCAAAGCCAGAAATAGTTGATACTGGCAGCTAATCCCAAAATGGGTGCTATCAGCTCCAAAACTATTTGACACCATTGATTGATCAAATTGAAGTATGTATTTCTGTGTGTCTGTAAATCAGTAATGATTGAACACATTTGTGATGCTTGGCTACGCCGTGACACCACTTCACTTTCTGCACGTCCTGTATAATTAGCTAACAGAGCAGAACTGGTTGTGATCAGTGAAGCCTCCTCTAAAGATGGATGGATGGACGAGTGGATGGATGACTGAAGCGACAAGGTCTAAGTGCTTTCTGCACCACTGGGAGTTGTTCTGTCGGATATGCCATTTGTAACTGTGTGTGTGTTCGTGTTGGTGTGTTTGCCTGCCAAGCAAGAACTGTCATGAGTCATTTCAAAATTTACAATATTGCTTTCGTTTGACTTATTATTTATCGTACTCAAATAAATTTTTCATGACAGTCGGCCTATGTGTGCTTGTTCACACAACAATGAGCCGGCTTTGTGTGATTTATTTTTGAGTCCGTCCGTAGTACATACAGGAAATTATGTTTATTACCCTTTTTATTTGTTCATTTTTTAACTTAGATTTAAACTCTTGTGACAGGCTGTTCCAGATGTGAACACCACAGACATGTAAAGCTGCCTGTGCACAGATCCTGCCCACCGTCCAGGGAACAGCTAACAGGCTAGTGTCGGAGGAAGGGAAGCCTGTGTCATACCTTACAAACACATTAGGCATGTGTCAAAGGTCCGATCCCGCTGAGTGATTTGGAAAGTGAGAGCGTGATCTAAAAGTCAGACAGCCAACGAAGGGACTAAAAGCAGCGAGTTTGGGGACTGTGCAGAGTGAGGGGTCAGAGCAAATGCAGAGGTTGTGAGACACAGTTCATACCGAGAGCTGTGGAGAGAG